TCGTATCGACTATCACGAGATGAGCATCTCAAAAGCCCATACTACTCAACCTCTCTTATCTCAATTTTAACACTCTAGACTCGGGTATAGAGTCTTTCCCTCAAGCTTTGCCGCCAATGTATCCAATCCACACCACAACGAATGAAACCAAACAAGGTGAGATACAATTGAATAAATAAGGGAAAGTGATAAACAAACAAATAAAAGGAAAGGACCCAAACACGCGAAAAAACAAACTAGGTTAGGTTTGACTCGCTTAGGGAACAGTCCCCAGCAGAGTCGCCAGCTGTCGCTACGTGAAAAATGACACAGAGTCGCCACCGGATATTATTTATCCCAAGGAGGGAAAGGGAAATAGAGATAAAACCTTTGGTAAAAGAGCATGGTCATCGCAACCAAGTCTTAGGGTTCGGCAGTCGGTTATGCGAGGGGAAGGTGTTAGCACCCCCTCGCATCCATCGTACTCGATGGGAACCTCCTAGGTTATTTCGCGTGAATGGGTGTTTTTATTAAGAGTTTGCTTGCTTAAGGAAAATAGGGGTTGGTTTATTTATTAGAGTGCTCGCCAAGGATTGGGGCCCTTGTGCCTACGGATATTCACTTGTATGAAGTGAAGAATCAGAGTATTCGTAGTTCATGGGACTACGGTGGAAAACGGGATGTTGGGTGGACGATGCTATCGTGCACATTCTAGCAGTTAGGTGTATTGCGGCTCGCTCTTGGAGTCTTATGCGTTACCTGTTTGCGGTAGAACGGATGTAACATGTCCTTGGGTAAAGGGTATGGATGATTAAAGATGGGAAAAAATAAAATTGTGCTCGCTAGGATCATCGCAATCCTATGCCTACGTATTCTCAACATGTGTGAGAAATCAGAGCAGCCGTAGTTCGGCCACTTAAGAAATAATTGTGTATTGGTTGATTTTATACCTTGAAAAAGGGTTTCTGGATTGACGCCCTAAGGCAAAAGAAGTTTGATGAGTTGATATTGTTTTTAGGTTTTTCTTAGGGAATAATTTATTCTTGACTAGGATTATACAAAAGACTTTGGATAGAGATGAATATCTCGAATAGCCAAGTCGAGCGTCTTGTATTCAAAACATTCGGAACGAGTGTAGGAGGATTCCATTCTCATTCCTTCTCCACCACTTTAAAGTTCATGGTGCATAATTCTAATCGTATATTTTATTGTGTTTTGGGTTTTTTATGAGAAAAAGGATCACTTGACGTTGGATCAAGGTTTATTGTTTGTAAAGATGTTTGAAGTGAGGCGATCAAGGTCGATGGCGGTGCACAAGGCAACCGACTTACAAGGTTAAAAATGGCTCGATAAAATCGAGAGTTTGTTTTTGAAAATGGTTTTTGGAATCAAAAGTCAACAAGGACAATAGCAATATTCACACTAAAATCATACAAACATATGGGGTTAGTCGGCTAAAAAAATCGAAACATGCAAAAAAAAAACGGAACTGAGAAAAGTGAACATTCTATTTTTTGCATGTTCGCGCCACGAAGGGTGTTCGCGCCGCGAACTGGGAAAGTTTTCATTCTGGTTTTTGCATGTTCGTGCCGCGAACATGGGTCGCACCGCGACCTGAAGTGAAAAATGCAATGTTTTCTGCTTTCTTGCTGTCTTTTAGGGTTTTCTTTCCTTTCTATTGGTTCTTAAAAATGGTTTCTTGGTCCCCTTGGGACCTCACACAATACACCCAGCACAAACACGCTTACAAATGATAATAAATGGCAAGTGCAAAAATATAAAGAGAGAAAAAGTTTGAAATTTATACCCAAGAGCTTCCTCCTTCTTTGTTAAGCTTCCACTGGTTTGGTTGTGTGTTTTCTTCCTTCTTCCTTCTATGCTTTGAAGGTGCTTCTCCTCAAAGGTTCTCTATGGGTTTCTATGGAACTCTCTTGATTCTTGCTGGTTTTCTTTCTCACCTTTTTTCTGGTTTTCTCTCTAAAGTTTCTTGCTCTCTCTATTTTTTCTGGTTTTTGCAATGTGTAGTGGATGTTGAATGTGTAAAGAGTGAATGACTTTGTTTACAGCCCCTTCCCTTCTTATCTCTCCCCTCTAGGGTTTTCCCTTCTCCCCAAACATCATATTTTTTCATGGGATAATGTCTCCTACCACCTTTTCTCATGTCACTCTCTTTCTTTCCATTTCCATGTATATGGCTATGCTGCATTTTTCTGCACTACTTTCTCATGCTGTCTTTTTCTACATCCCTCTAAATTGCCCTCAATCCTTTCACCTCTTTGTTGGCTTATGCTTGGACTACTCTCTTGGTCAATGTTAACCTTTGGACAGAATTTTGAAATTCTGATTTTTAGATACATTATTATATGTTATTCCCTTGGTCTTGTGACATGTATATTTTGTGACATGAGGCAACTTGTTACTTCTTGCATGGGGCTGTTTTGGATTACCTTCATATTGCCCATGAATAAGCATGCATAATCTTGATCTTGAAACATTCCAATGTTAAGTTAGCTCTTAAATATTTTCTTTGGATGTTTGTAAGCATAATGTTGAACATGTAAACTTGTTGGGGAATGAAAGGTACCATAGCATGAAATTAATTAGAGACTTGAATGAATATTAGAAATAGATCAATTTCTAAACATTACTTAAAGTTGTAAATTTTGTAACAAATGGCATTCTTGCAATGTCATGAAATTTCTCTTTGTAATATTCTTGCCTCCAATCTTGAATTCATGATGGGTTTCCCTAACACCATTAAACTTGAAATGGATGAAGTCTTGAATTATGGACTTGTGATCTTGACTCATGCTTTGCAAATTTGAACTCCACTTGATCAAGAATTTGAAACAAAATTGGATGAAGCAAACTTGAATTTGGCCTTGCATTTCATGTTCATTAGGATATTTATCTTGAATATCCCAATATTTTTCAAATAACTTCTTCTTGAAGTAATCTACATGAGTAGATTTTCCAACTTAGATCAAGCCTTAGGTGATGAACCTTTTCTTCCATGTATTCCATAATAGGCAATCTATCTCATTTGAAATGAAAAATAACAAATCGACCCAATCTATACCTTGTGAACCCACATGCCCGATATGCAATGGAATAATGTGTGATATGACGAATGCAGAGTATGAAAGGCTAAAGGTGAAAATGAGGGTGTGACAAGAGTCAACACCCACCGGTCAAAAGAAGGTCCAACGTCACCAAAGGCACAGTCAAGGCTGCCTTCATAAGCGAAAGTAAAAGTAGTCCCCAAAATCTTTAGGTCTACCCAGACATCTTAGATATCCTTTGTTTTCTAACGTTTGGCGAGTGCAACCTCCATAATAAGAAATCTTACATAGAAGACACCAGAATGGACAAAGTAAGATAAAAAAAACATCAACTAAGGAAGAGGAAAAAAAGAAATTAATGTTACCTTTAGAACAATTAAACTAAGAGCAAACGTCAAAGGAAACTACAATGCTAGCAGATGCGAAGAAAAGCTAGGAGTCCAAGATTTCAAGTGGTGATCACAAACAAAACAAAGGAAAAGAATAATGCTTTAGAACTACAAACGACGGAAGAGTAGGAAAAACAAACAAATAAGCTTTTATGGGTACTTCTAACACGAGGGCAACACGGCCTCTTACAACCAGGAGAGAAGAAAGCACTCCAACGGTCCAGATCTCCTCAAAAGTCGTCCTAGATACTCAAGTAACCTAGGATCATAAGATCATCATTAATGGCATGCGAGGGGCACACGTAAAAGGCTCCTCAGAGAAAAAAAAACATATGACACATGAAATGTATCTAATGTGCAAGTTCCCAACTCTAGTTGTATTCCATCACGACCCTTCACTTGACCTGAATGTCAACTAATCTCGAGACATGCACAGCAAAATTCGTCTTTCCCCATAAGACAGGGGAAAAGATGAGACGGAAAAATCCCTTCCCTGCAAGGCAGAGGAAAAGACGGGAAGCAACTGCTTGAGACCACCCAGAAGAACCACTGAAAAAGGCCTAAGAGAGAACACTATTGGGGACCACACACAAGAAATGATGACCTTCGTTCTTTTGAACACATACAATCCCAGTCCTTAACTCATCACACACCGTCCAGATCAATCACACTATATAAAGAGAGAATCACATCATTTTACACATTATTCAAATTCATCTCCATTACTCACCATTTCTCATTCTCTCACGTGTGTTAGAATGTTAACCTAGCAGGTACCCCAGACCTCTATCCTATCAAAGTTCAGTGCATCGCATCTGAAGTCCAATCACACCGATTCATCTCACATTTCTGGTTCTCACAAAACATTATGATGTCGATCATTGATTTTCTCAATTTACTCAATAAACAAAATGGACAGAAAATCAAAAATAATTTGCAGAACATTTATAGTACCATTGTATACAGCAAAATACAACTATGTTTCCTTTGGTACATGGTAAGGTGTTCATCTGATATGCTTCACTCCAACTACCAGTGCATACCTCTTTGAAGAGAATACAAATTCTTGTGACAAACAACTAAAAAGAATCCACCCTATGCTATAAATTACATAAATATTAAAATACCATGACACTTTGACACATGACACATGCCAACAACACTTCACCATCTTAAGGCCTAAAACTTCACCATCACCATCACATGTATAAATATTATATATTCCACACTTCTCAAAAGTAACTGACTCAAGAATAAATCCAATGAATGTATTGAGTTTAAAAGGAAGAAAGAAAGAAAGTAAAAAAGAGTTGATTTGAACAAAACCTATTTTCAATACCCAACTATATAAAATTTTCTCATTTAGAAATTCTTCATTCAAGCTTTATCGCCTTTCGGTTCAAGGAAAAGGTAGGAAAAAACTACCAGAATGCTAACCAGCAAGAATTGTTAGCCTATTCTTTCTTTTCATAGCTGCATTGAATGATGAGACATGTGCTGGAAGATATTATCAGCAATCAATAGCTGGTGGACCACAACAACATTCATATACACCATTAAAGGACATATATCAGCGACCCGGTTTTGCACGTTTCATTCCACTTGAGTTGAATGGGGACACACTGCCACTTGGCCCTGGACTCTCTTCTCTGAAATTTGAATTCAGAAGAGCTAATTCGCGCAACTGCTGCCTCTTAATAAAGTCTTCTGACTCATCCTGTGTATCAAACATTCATATCCAAGACAAAATTTTAAAAACTATATATTCTTGTATGGTTATAATACGGAACTAAAGTTTGACGAAACATACCACAGGTTTGAGTAATTCTTCTATGATTTCCTGAGCCTGTCTGAGCCTTAAGTCAACAACATTAGCAGGTAAATCAGCCTCAATCAATATGTGTAGAGGTTCATTGAGATGCTCATAGCCTGGTCTTCCTCGTAACTTTTCTTCCTTAAGATTGATAAATTTATAATACTCTCAGTTGGTATATAACAAGTATAATTGAGTATGCAAATCAATCAGGAAATATGGAAAGTTATGTTTGTCTTCATACCTTGTCGGGATCTTTTATCGATCCTTTTCCTCTAATATACACACGGCAACCAGTAGTAGCTTCTACCCGTTTCAAAGAATTGCCTCGTGGTCCCAGAAGTCTTCCAACAAAATTAAACTAATGCAATAAGAAGCAACATATTTCTATTACTTATAGTTGATAATAGAGATTTCAGTAACAAAAACAAGAAGCAAAATTTGATTTTCTATAACTGACAACTGTATAAAAGCTTACATTGGGGAATGTATCTACCGGAATTTCCAGGCGCAATATTCTCTTCACAGTGAATGAACTAGGACTTGCAGGTGCACTTTGCCAGTCCATATTCGTTCCAGGGGGTCCAATTAATCTCTGTTTTTTCCAATAAAGTAATGTTAATGAATATAAGTTGAACGTAACTATCGTAAATGACAAGAAAAAATAATGAGGCCTTTGTTAAAATAAAAATAAAAATCAACAAGCAACCACCATTCTCAATCTCAGGAACCAACAAAATCATAAATATTACATAAAATTCAATCATAATAGTTGAATATATATCGCATGTACACATGCATATATAATGTGATATTAATTAGACCCCTATGGAGTCTTCAGTCGTAAACCTTACTCCAAATCCTCACCAAATCGCTAAATGTAGACAGAGTGGTTGTTGACATCCCTCTAAGAATCTATGTCCCAAATAAAGGTTAAATCCTTTATTAGAACTTCTGCACATAGTAGGACTAATACTAATGGTTTTCAGCAGGAATTCATACCCGACATAGCTGTATATCTCCTAAAGTTTATGTTACACACTACTACCAAGAGTTTGGAGCTGAGCCATGTTAAGTTTTTGGAGGCTCTGTGCTGGTTAGCTACGATTCAACCCTAACAAAAACAACCATAGGTCATATATAGTCATGGTTTAACCATGACAAATCTATTATGAGGCCCTATTTAGTCACAACTTAACCATGAAAATTTTGAGGTTTTGTGTTGTATCCCACCTTGCACACTCTCAAAGACGGCCCTGTTAAGGAGGGAAAGGGTGTTGGGTTTGTCCAAGAGTTTGGAGGATTTTCTAATTTAGTACTACTTTAGAGGATTGGGAGATTTAAGAAGGGAAAGGGTATCTGGCAATGAGCTGTCTTTGCTGCTATTTGGTGCCTACAGCTGTGTAGCAAGAGCTTTACCTAACTGAAATAATTTCTTTGGCCTTCTCTTGGTCTCTTTTGGGAGTATATCTATCTGTCATGAACCAACCGTCCTGGAAGCTTAAGCTGTCAGGGAAATGCACATGAATGGTTTCGTATCAAATACTCACATATTTACAGAGGCTTGTGTCGAGTGAATATTTGGCTTTATTGTGATATTTGTAATTTGTAAAAAATACACGGGTCTAAACTTTAATAATGATATTTTTCCTCTTTTTGTTCGTCGAATTTCAAGACTGTCCACCAATTCAAACTAATGCAAATGTTTGAGTATCTGAAAAATGTATCTTCATATTATCATCCTATCATCTTAAGTATTTGTTTCCATATTTCTTTTTATATCTTAGCAAAACCGAAAAGAGCAATTATGAAACTTCAATATGGTATCAGAGTCACATTATCATGACTGGTCTTGTCGCCATTTTTCAACCAAGTTACCTAAAAACAGGAACGGTAGTGTAAGCTGTAACATTGTCATTATCTCCATGTCAGTTTTCTTCCCATCGGTTGTGCACAAGGCCAGCTTTTTCTACCTCAGGTTCTCTCTTTATTAATGGTTTTTCACTTGTCGCTTTCGAAACCTATCTCAATCTCAGTTCCTCCCATTGTCATATCCTCCTTAAGTTAAACCACACGCAACAATCCTACCTTATGTTATACCTATGAATTAATAAGGATTCATGGTAACATTGGTAACATTCAAACATCACTCTTGGGCATTTAGACACACATCATGGTCTTTTCCCTTAAAGTGCGAAGGAGGTGATGTATGAAGCAGTACAATAGTGACTGGAGCTTGGTTGAATACACACAATAAGTACTATATGTCACAAGTTGAATACTCACGTCACAATTCACCACTTAGATAGATGATGAAATTTTAAAAACAAAAATGTGCATCTAAACATACAAATATAACAAAAACTTGAGCATATCAACTTTATAATGCAACAGTTAATTGATAATTTAAAAGAAGTCACCTCCTGCTGAAGATTATTCCATGCACCAATTCCTGTCGCAGAGACATTAGACATGAGGTTTGAAGAAGCCATAGGACTAGGACTTCTATGCTGATGTCTATCAAAGTCACCAAAACCTTGGTTGGACAACATTCCAGAAACTCTCAATATTTCTGCAGCAGATGTAATATTGTAATCAGAAACCAATGCGTACAATCGAAAAGTTATACAAAAAATAGAGCAACAAAGAGAAATCGAATGACAGATCATGTCAAGAGAGATTAGATTTAGAGTCACTGCAGTCAGTGGATGTCAGCCATTAGACGGAGATTGATCGACTTGCATTTTAACTTCATCAAAAGATCTAAAATACAACTTATTATCAGAGCTATGATCTCTACGGCCGATGTTGATTGGATACCCAACAAGACTCGAAAAATCAGAAAACCTCACATCCCGCAGTAAGGACTTACATCAGACCCAACGCAGACAATTCCTCGAAAAAACAGTGCACCGGACTTAAGACTATGAAGGTACATTTCATCCAATGTTAACTTAAGATAACATCAAAAAGGGGATAATTTTTTCAATTAATTCTATATCCATTCCACACCTAAGAAAACATCAAAACCAAGTGAAGTGTGAAGGAAATAGTGCCACAACAATGATAAATGGTAGAGAAAGCAATCAAAGCATGATCAACACTATCTGAACCATTGACATGATCCAAGCACAGACATGAAACATCCTATCATAGACAACAACAAAAAATCTACAAAAAACATAGATCCAAAAACATGAACAGACCTTGATTCAAAAGACGACTGCATATAGGAAGCACTTGCAGAAAAGGTCCAAGCTTCTGATGTTCTGCCAGCAACTCTGATAGATACTGACTGCAAAAAAAAAAAAAAAAAAAAAACAACCCTTTTCAATTCTGAATCAAAAGCACATAAATTTACTAAACCAAATCAAAAATCCCAAAAAAAAAAAAAAACACAAACCCTTTTTGAATCTAATCATGAAAATTGATCTGAAAGTAAAAAAGAAAAAAACTTTCCAGTACCTGTCAACTTCTGAGTTGGTTCTAATCTGAGGAGAAGCAGCTCTGGCATGAGAGAAATTCTGATTATACAAACCTGACATAACTGACTTTTTAGCTTCAGCTTTTTCCTTAAGGATTGGAAGAAAAACGAAAGTTGAAAAACAAGGTTTAGTTGGTGCAGTTGTTTGCAGAAGAGAAAAAGGAGAAACTGACCAAGACCATCATCAATAAAGGAGTTCTGTAAATAAAAAGAAAACACAACAACAACAAAAAGGGTATATGATTTTTTTTTCTCTCTTTTACATAAAAATAAGGACAAGAATTAATTATTTGATTTATTTAATTTTCTCTCTCTAATATTTCCTTGTCAGAAAAAAATAAAATAATAAGAAAAGTGGAAGACAGTGTCGTATAATAATCTAAACAAGGAAACATGAGTGTAAAGAAACAGTTAAAGTGTTTTGACCAAAAAGTACATAGTTAAAGTTAAGGTGGTAAAAGATAGATTTTGTTGTTTGTTTGGTCGAGGAAGTGAAAATACAATGGAAGAAGAGACAGAGAAGAACAAGAAGAGGAAGAGGAAGAGGTGGAGACGCGTGTTAGGCATGCAAGAGAATCAAAGGTAATGAAAGATTGTGGAGAAGAAAAGAGATACATACACCAAAAATATGATCATCATGATAATGATGTTTGCCAACGTACTCTTAGCTGTGTTCTTACAAAATTACTACACTAGTCTTATAATTTTACTATGTTAGTTCAAAATTAGTGAAGTACTTAAGGTTAGATTAGAAATCAAATGTTAATCTTTGTTAATGGTCAAAAACTAACAATTTCTATGATAGTAATAATTTGGTCAAAAATAGTACCCAAAGAAAAAAACATTGGTCAAAAATAGATGTTTTAACTTTTAAGTATATATAGGATATATTTATTTCACATAAAACATTGGATTCTATGTGTATATGAAAAAATACAATAAAGTAGAGATTCTTTGTATATATGAGTGTATTTTGTTTATTTATTTTGTTATCCTTTTGAAAAAAAAAATATATTATTTAAGATAGGACAAAAGACAATGTAATATGACTATATAATGTTATATTTATTTATATTTTAATTTAGTATTTGATGAGAGTAAAATATAATAATTTAATTGTAAAATTTATCATATTATGTTTGTCTAGTTAAAAGTCATATTTTGAATATAATATAATAAAAAATAATTTCTTGATTTATTTTTTAATAATATAATCATAAATATAAAAAAGAAAGTATAATATAATATAATGTAATATAATATAATATAATATAATATAAATAGAAAATAAACAAAAATTAAAGTTGATATTACATCTAAAAAATCATAATTAGTCTATAGAAACTATAATATTTTAAAAATATCATTAAATAAATTTAGAAATGTTAATTTTTTTATTGTCACAATAGTTTTGTTATTTACATATAATATATATCATGTCTTTATTTGAGACATATGCCATATATAATGGGTTACTTCTTTACTCATTTTTTAAATTGAAATAATTATTTAATAACATCAATAATTTTTTTATAAAAGTTATCTACTTATTTATTACTTTTAATTTATTTACTTATTTATTTATCAAATTTAAAAATATTTGTATTTATTTTATAAGAATAATTTTATAATTTGAGTATAATAGATATCATATGATTATGGCTGGCAATGAATCGAAACAACTCAAAAATAGTTTGAAAATCGATATGATAATTAATTTGTTGAATTTGGTCCATGAACCTAATGAGCTGAATATGAGTTAAAAAAATTAAATTTGTTAACTAAATGAGTTGAACTTAAAATATGTATAGTTTGACTCGTTAGATTCATGAACAACTCGATTATATATGAGAAGGATTATATTGTCTTTAAGAGTAGATTTAAGGATTTAATATAATTTTTAATTTTATATTTTATTTTAATCTAATGATTTTAATTGATAATTTATATTCTCAAGTGAGCAAAATATTTCTAAATATAATTAAATAAAATTAACATCATATAAATTAATTAATTTTTGAATCAGTAGATTTTTGAAACAAAGTTAAACTCCAATCTAATAACTTTTATTTTATTTTAATACTTTTTATAAAAAAAATAATAATTAAAATTTTCAAATATATAAAAAATAGACTTTAAAATATGATTTTTAAGTCTGTGAAGTAAGCAAACTGAATCTAACGAGTCGAACAGAATTGCCCGTGAACTTATAACGAGTTGAATTTGAGCTTAAAAAAAAGTTCATGTCGAATTTAAATCGAAATTTAAGCTGAATCAGTTTTTAACAAATCGAGTCAAACTGAGACAAATTCAACTTCATTCGACTCATCTTCAACCTTACATATAATGTCATATTAAGTGCATTTCAAATACATTAAACAATAAAATAATGATACGATATTTCTATTTATTTAAACACAATATATCATATATTTATTATATCATTATCATGCCATATTTTTATTGAACTTATTATCATATTAGGTATTTTTTTTTGTTTTTTATAAGTTGCTGTGGAGAAAAATTTGTATTAAATTATAAGTTGTTTTGCAAAATTAAAAAATCATTAATATCATTTTTAGTATTATACTTTCAAATATTTATTATCATTTCTTCTTTCAAATATTTAAACTTATCTTTTCAATATAATTAAGTGAGTACAATATTGTAAAATTTTTCATACTTTCTCTTTTTTTTTTATAATAATAATAATTTTTTTAATACGTGTAAAAAATTCAAAACGACATATAATAATAGAAAAAATGAAAGGAGTATTATTTTGTCTTCTATAAACTAAATACCAATATATTAAAACACATTTCCTTACCTCTAAATATAAATATACAATTTCTCAATTTGTCTTCCATAAACACTTTCTTTGAAATATCAAAATTTTATTGCAGTCATGAACTATGTGATATATATATATATATATATATATATATATATATATATATATATATATATATATATATATATATATATATATATATATATATATATATATATATATATATATATATATATATATATATATATATATATATATATATATATATATATATATATATATATATATATATATATATATATATATATATATATATATATATATATATATATATATATATATATATATATATATATATATATATATATATATATATATATATATATATATATATATATATATATATATATATATATATATATATATATATATATATATATATATATATATATATATATATATATATATATATATATATATATATATATTGATTTTGATTTTGGTTTTGAGGATACATTTACTCTAATACAAAAAGAGAACATTTTCGTTTCCTATATTGGTTTTAAAATACACCAATTTGATGTTAAAAATTTATGCTTGCATGAAAACTTAGAGGAATGGGTGTTATGAATATTCCCTCAATCTTTGGTTTCATAATCTACAAGGTGTGTTAATTGAGGAAGACATTATATGGACTAAAGTATTCCCCAAGACATTATTTGAAAGGTTTGGAGAAACAAATGTCTTCTTAGGTTATAAGTAAATCCAATGAGATCATATTTTATTCTTCAAACATTCATAAAGAGGCAAACTATTTGTTCTTTTTGTTTAAGTTAGTTATATTATTGATATAAGAGATGATTTTACTAAGAGAAAGATGTTAAGGGAGAAATTATAAGTAGAGTTTGAGACGAAAGACCTTAGATAAAGTGGGACTAAAATTCATTACCTGTTTCATTTATCACATGTGGCATATGAGGTGTCTAAGGAGTAACAGTTTTGAGATATCAGCCAAACAGAAAAATCTTCTCCCCAACGATTTGAGGAAGAACCGGTCTTCCTCCATTGCCATGTTTTTGATCAGGAAATTAGGAAAACTATTTTTCTTGTTTTGTAGCCTAGCCTAAGGAGTCGTATATAAACATCTCAATTAGGGAGGATCATTCACAAATTTCTCATATACAAACATACAAAACTCTTTTGCTCTCGATCACGTAAGAGGGTTTGTCCTCTCTATTGTATATTTAGAAAGTATGGTTGACGCCCACCATGGGCCCGATAAAGTTGACTTGGGGGCACTCTCACCATAAATTTATAAGTCGCTTCAGTCGCCTTTCTTAACATGGTGGTGAGACGTGGCATCGGGATATCTACCAACTTGCACATCCATTTACACCATAACAATGGGAATTATTAGAGGTGAAAAGTCCAACTTTTTTCATAGAAGATACACTAGGTGAGTCTTGGTGGTGGAAGGTTCTCCTGCCAGCCCCAAATAAAATTTAGATAGGGAGTCAGAACCTAAAATTATTTTCTTTGATATACCAAAATGCATCCTCACAATAATGACCTCATGGTCATAATGGTGTATTGCGACGATTGAGATTTAAAACGGGTAAGGATTGACTTGGGGAGCTCAACAGATGTCATATAATAGAACATGTCTAAGAAGCTCGGGTTGGATTCAAATGGCCTTCATACGTTCTAAAATTCGATGTTCGGGTTCTCTGGGAAGAAAATATAAGTGATGCCACGTAAATCTCAAGATAGTGTTTGGGTTGAACAAGAGCACAAAAATAATCATGTTCGGGTATCTCATGATAAATTCCCTATCTTCATACAACATGATCATAATATGACCCACATTCAACATTTTAGGGGCCACCTTGCCAACCTTGTACTTAAGCATGAAGTACATTCTACCTATTGGGCAAGTTGGAACGATCCAAATGATCAAGAGATCGTCCAAGAATGTAACCAAGACAACATGAGGATAAGAAGAGCGGACTTGGCTACAGCCACCTCTTATAAGCATGCGTGCAAGGAATAAATTTTGTGAATTTGGATCTCTGGAAAGAGCCCGAGAAAGAATAATTGACGCCCACAAAATATCTAAAGGAGGTCCAAATTAAGCCCCTAGATTTTCCCACTACTATGCACCTCATTGACTGAAGTTAAAGAAGAGGAGTTGGTTGATGTCCCTAGAGAGAAAAAACAAGTTTTATAATCGTATCCACAAAGACCGATGGTTTCAAAAAACTGTTCAATAG